GTTTGGGGAGGGGTCAGTATTCACCTGTTTGGGGGAGGGGTCAGTATTTACCTGTTTGGGGAGGGGTCAGTATTCACCTGTTTGGGGGAGGGGTCAGTATTCACCTGTTTGGGAGGGGTCAGTATTTACCTGTTTGGGGGAGGGGTCAGTATTCACCTGTTTGGGAGGGGTCAGTATTTACCTGTTTGGGGAGGAGTCAGTATTTACCTGTTTGGGGAGGGGCTTCTGTAGTTCTTGTTGGTGTAAATCTCCTCCAAACTGAACTCTTTCTTCTTTAATCTGAACAGTCACGTGAAAAAAACTTTATTTAAAACCCAGAAGGTAACAGGAAAGTTAAGATGAAGTGAAAACAAGATGACAACAAATGCACAGCCAGGTGAAATCATAGATATATATATAAAGGTTAGACGTCTTAAGGCGGCGTTTCGAATGGCATCACCGGCGGCCATCTTGATTGGGGGCAGCTCTCTGGTGGAACCTGTGGTCCATGAAGGAAGGCGAGTGATCTGTAAGACGTAGATACTCTGATCTCACTGCAATCTGGACGGATTTCCAAACGGTTTGGTTTCTGACAAACGTCATTAACGTGGCTACAATTCAAATTATAAAAATACAATACCAAATAATTAAAATACTAATTGTTGCTGGCCGTGAGAGTGTAACATAATTATCCATCAGTGCAGTGTTATAACTACACCGCTGACGTTTAGAACAAACAAAACTGTTTGGAAATCGGTAGAAAACTGAATAGTTGCTTAAAAAGTCCATGCACCACAACAACACAATGTTATGGGTGAGCAAGCGGACCATACCAAGATGGCCGCCAGTGTGGCCGTGCTATTCCATTGGCCGACAGCGCGGATGAGGCAGCTAGCCTTTATTATACATTTCTATGGCGATAATGATTGCTACATCCTTCCCTCTGCTTCAGACTCTTGAACTGTGATTTTCTGTTTCAGGTGTTATTACTATTGATTTGGCTCCACCCCCTCCTCACCTTTTCACCTTCGGCAGGCCCATCGGTGTGAGCGGCGTTTCTCGAGGCGATGCCCGGCGAATTCGGATCTGTGACACTCGTTTACTTCGCTGTGTAAGAAGGAAGAAGAAAAAGACTTTAGAAAATGTTTGAGAAGCAAAAGCAACAACGAAGAGCAACAAGATCACTGACAGGACAGAAAACAGGAGATCAGTGAGTCCACTGTGAATAAAAACATTTAAAAACCTGAAATCTAACCAAACAAATGCGAGAAGCAACAAAAAAATGAAGAAACAAACGTCACCTCTCCATTGTTGCTGAGAAACTCTGAGCCGGCCACTGATTGGACAACAGGGAGCGCAACAGGCAGTCCATTGGTTGAACACGCAGGGAGGGGCGGGGCTCGTCGCCGGGGCAGGCGGAGGCTCTGAGCACTGTGATTGGCTCGCTGCTTCTGCTGTCTTCGGACGGGAAAAGCTGAGCTGCAACAGACATTAACATATGTGAGTGGTTTTCATGCCAAGTGACTAAATGTAAACAAAAACAGGTGCGTATAAAAGCAGATTTACTCAAATAAAACGTGTTTTATCTGCAGTTATAAAATTACCTCGAAGTGGAGGCTCGAACGTAACTGTGGGGACGGAAACACAAAGTTAATCTGAGCTCAAGGTTTCAGTCTAATGACAACGCTGACCTTAAACAGACTGTGAAAACGGTCAGTGATCTCATTTGAATACAAGCACATGAATATTAATTGGCCACATTTAAATATGAGGCCACACCCACCAGTGATCGCTGCTCAGACTGGGCGGGGCCGTCCAGTCCCTCAGGGGCCGCAGGGGACTCGAACAAGCTCTGCCCCTCACTGACTCCAACAACGTCTCCACGGCAGCTGCTGACAGGCGCAGCATGGGGGCGGGGTTAAAGGAGTAAGAGGAGGAGCACAGCCACAGGCAGGAAGCACTGTGATTGGAGGAGCGGGAGAGGGGAGGGGCCAAGCCAGAGAAACACCATTGACCAGAGGAGATGCTGAAGGCCCCTGATTGGTTGAAGGTCAGGCCGCAGTGAGCTGACTGGAGGATGTGCACGGCACGCTGGGAAGGGGGGCGGGGCATGCTGGGAGGACGAGAAGGAAGAATTAAGCAGCTGCTCGTTAAACTCACTGCTGTTCGTCAACCCTGAGTTTTAGTGGAACCTAACTTGTTATTCTGGTTCTTGAAGACGTTCCACCTTCACTCCAGATTCTTACTCAGTTCCAGCTGTTTGGGACTTTGACGTATTCATTCTCACCCCAAATCACATGACTCTGCCCATTAATGACTTACCTGTCTCCAGGTAAGGATGCCAGTGAACCCTTAAGCTGCATTATAAGAACCTGATGAGTGGCTGTGGCTCCTCCTCTGTTCAGAGATGTGGTTCCAGTTTGATGTCTTCCTTCATTCTTCTCTCAGACCATCTCCTCTGTCCAGAATGTGGACTTCATGTCCTCAGAGTGTCTCTGATCCTTCAGATGCAGCTGGATGCTGCTCTGCTGCGACGTTCTTCGGTACTGTCGTTAATTCTCTGCTCTATGAAGCTCTGTGCTCTCCTGGCTGCACTGGACTGCAGATACATCACTGCTTAGCCTTCAGGATGACACTCTTGTTCCTCCTGTTCTTCTTCTCTGCTTGGTGTGCTGCTGTGTTTTCCAGAACTCTATTGACTTCATGAAGGTCCAGTCGGGAGAACCACAGGTTTTCTGTACTCCCCTAATGTGTGTTCTGCAGGATAAAGCTGGTAAATGATGGACGGTGTCCTTCTCCTGTTCCAGCTGCAGTCGATGGCCTTCTTCTTCTGTCTGTGGTTTAGGAGCCTCTGAACAGAGGAGGTTCCACCTCACCACTCATCACAAACCTAGAATGCAGTCCTGAGATCCTGGAGCCACCTGAGACTTGGACAGACTGGGAGTCATGTGATGCGCAGGTGGGAATAAATATCTGAACTATTTTGTGTTTAACAGTGAGTAAAGGTAACTGTCTGTCTGTCTCACCTGCGTGGCAGCAGCGGTGCTCTACAGCCGTTCTTCCTGATGATGACACCAATGGCCTTCTCTGATTGGCTGGCTCCTCCCTCCTGTCTTCTTCTGCGTTTCTTCTGGGTGTAGTTGTGCAGCGTCAGCAGCGCCTCCTCCTCCTCCTCTGCTCCTCCTCTAAAGGAGAATGCCATCCTCCCCACAAACCTCCCATCATCCTCCTCCTCTTCTTCTTCTTGTCTGTTTTCTAGAAACTCCCCTTCTCTGTGAGTCCTCCTTCTCTTCCTCCTCTGCTGTGATTGGGCGAGGGACAGAGGAGGCGTGGCCGACTCCTCGCTGTCTGATGATGAAGGTTGGAGGGGGGCGGGGGTACACTTGTAGTGGGAGGAGCTTTCTGTCGGCCTCCTCCTCCTCTTCCTCCTGCTCCTCCTCTCCAGAGCGTCCAGACGACGGCTGAGTGAAGCCACGGCTCCTCGCAGGAGGCGACGCATCTCCAAGCGGTGAGCCGACAGGAGGCGGGGCAGGAGGGCGGAGCAGGGGCAGCAGGGGGCAGGAGGAGGAGCAGCAGGAGGAGAAAGATGAAAAGAAGAACAAGATGGAGGACAAAAGAGGGATGGCGAAACAGGAGGAGAGGAGCTAGACAGAGAAATGGTAGGAGTCTGACGAGGGGGAGGAGTGAAAAATACTGAAGGAGGAGAAGAGACAGGAGGAGGACAAGCTGAAAAGTGTTGAGGAGGAAGAGGAGCAGAAGAAAAAAGAGGAGAAAGATGAACAGAAGCAGGACGTACAGCTGGAGAAGAGGCTGGACAAGGAGACAACATGGAGGTAGGAGGATGATGGAGGGATGCAGAGAGAGGAGAAGAAGGAGAGAGATGGGAAGGAGGTACAGGAGGACGTGAGAAAACAGCAGAAGATACAGAGGAGGTAGAGGAAGTTAAATACGTGGATGGAGGAGGACGGGGAGGAGCTGAGGAGAAAAGAGAAGGAGAGAAAAAAGAGGAGGGAGAAGGAGCACAAGGAGGAGACAACATGGAAGGTATTAGAGGATGGAGGGATGCAGGGAGAGGAGAGGGAGAAAAACGGGAGGAAGAAGAAGGAGAAATAGAAGGAGGAGGAGGAGGACGAATAGACGGAGCTACAGAACGAGGTGAGAAAACAGGAGGAGGTGGAGGAGAAATGGTAGAAGGAGCAGGTGGAGGAGTGAAAAAGATTGAAGGAGGTGAAGAAACAGAAGATACAGGAGGACGAGGAAACACAGTAGAGATGGGAGGAGCTACAAAGACAGATGGAGAAGGAAGAGGAGGACGAGGATGAGGAGGAGCTGAGGAGAAAAGCGAAGGAGAGAAATAACAGAGAGGAGAAGAAAGGAGGGACACAGCAGGAGGAGGAAGTAGGGCAGAAGGAGAAGAAAACATGGAGCTAGTGGACCGATGGAGAGACGCAGGAAGAGGAGAAGAATGGGAGGAAGATGTAGGAGGAGCAGAGAGAGGAGGAGGAATAATAGGAGGACGAGCTGCAGGAGGAGGTGAGAAAACAGAAGAGGTGGAAGGAGCGACACAGACAGATGGAGGAGGACGAACAGAAGGAGCTACAGACGGAGGAGGAGGAGGTGCTGAGGAGAAAAGAGAATCAGAGAAATAAGAGGAGGGAGAAGAAAGACCTGCTGTCCCCTCGGCTGCAGGAGGAGGAGGAGGAGGAGGAGAGGAAGGTGAGGAGGAGGAGGAGGAGGAGGAGGAGGAGGAGCAGCTCCACAGAGGCACAGGAGGGGAAAAAACTCCTGGAGGTGAAACAGCACATTACATCATGTACAACCTGAGCTCACCTACAAATTCACATAAACACGACAACATTCAGATTTGTCTGGACAGAGGAGATGCAGTGATGTAATCAGTATGCTAACATGAGCGCCCAATGAAAAGTCAAAGATTCTGTGACATCACAGTCAGGTCAGGTAAACATCAGACAAATAAATTAACAACTGAAATAACAGAAACAAAGTAAACCAACACACCTGCTTGTGTGTCATCATCATCATCATTCTCATCAGCCAATGGGAGAGCAGGGGGTGGAGTCACAGCCACCAGGCCCCGCCCTCCGTCGTCACTCTCGTTTAGTGGCAGTGGTCGAGAGAGCATCGTGAGGACTGACAGAGAGAGAGAGAGAGAGGCTCAATGATCAATGTGACAATCAATAATCAATATTGAACAAGTTACAGGACATTTAGATCACAAAACAAACTCATCAACATGAAGCTGATTTTATTATCAAAAAGAACATTTTAATATCACGGCTGCAAAATTCACGACTCGGTACCGAACTGGCTTTCAACAGATGAGCACGTGACACACAGAAGCAGCAGCTTCATTGTTCCTGAAGGAAAGTCTTGAAACTCTCAAAGCAAAGAAACCGTGAAAGAGTCCAAAGCTTCCTGGTTCCACTGAGAACCACCACCGGGTCCATAAAAGACGTCCAGGACTTTAGTGAAACTGTTCTGGACTCAAACTCACTGCAAAACTTCCGAATCACATGAAAACGCTTCTTGTTCATCATTATTTCCTGACTGAACAGAAACACGCCGAATGTTTCCCTGTCTGGTCAGAATCACGATCAAAAGAGTTTCATTTAAAAAAAAAAAACATTTTCTTTATTATCACAATAATGACATCGCCCGCTGCTCTCGCGAGATTTGCTCCCCTGCAGCTCTAACGAAGCGGCTAGCCTGTTTGTCAGCTGATAGCAGCTGATGTCACCTGTATGTCGTCACAGCGGGTGTGCTGTGACGTCAGGAAGCAGGCAGAGCGGGAATGTGGCGGGTCGGGACGGACTGGGACGGACTGGGACGGACCGGGATTTCAGGGATAAAGGAGAGTGACGGAGCTAACAGCGGCTAACAGCGGCTAGCTGCCGTTAGCAGGCCGCTACACCGGGACTTTACCGGATGGTTTTACCTGCTCACGTCCCGCCGCTCCGTCACTTTCCCTTCAGTCCTCTAACGGTTCATTTCAGGCCGTTTACCGGCAGAAACACCGAATCTGTCCGGTCTGTTCTGAGGAACGGAGCTCCGGTACCGGAATCACAGCGACGGAGCGTCCTTCTTCTTCCTCGGTTCAATTTGCGGTTTAAACGGATGGAAGCTGCAGCAGCGCCGCCTGCAGGAGGAGCAGGGAGCCACCGGAGTCTGTCCGGTCGCCGGATGAGTGACGGTGCGACCCACAGGCTGTAACGATCAAACATCAGTGTGACGGTTGAATTCACTGAGTCACGGTTCGGTCCTGATCGGAACAACCACATGTTCAGCTCCAGGACATTAACCGGCAGCTTTTTCATATCCATCCATCATCTCTACACCTTCATCCTCACTAGGGGGCGGAGCCTATCCCAGCTGACTCAGGGTCATAGGCTGTGTCCGAAATCACCCACTCACTCCCTACTCCCTACATAGTGCACTATGTAGTGATCAATATAGTGATCACTACATAGTGCACTATGTAGGGAGCACCTCGGCAAAGCATCATTTCGGACACTACTCGAGCTGTTAATCACGTCGCTCGCTAGCCGTGATTTGTGCTGCAACAGCGTCGTACAAACACATCAAATTAACAGTTTATTGCGTAGCTAAGAAATCAAATTAAATCCAGTTTATTGTCATTTTGCTGTACACACCAGATGAGCGCGTTTCTTCAGGATCCACTAACTAAAAGCAATTTAAATAAAGTGGTGTAGTTTGTCCAAATCACAACCCAGCGCCGCAATTTTAGCGCCGTTCACTGTCCGGGTAAAATAACATTTAACAAAGCAAACGGGAATTTTTCCGCGCTCTCGTTCATCTCCATTTCCATTTCCTTTCAGTGCATGACGGTCCATATTGCTCAGTTAGTGACCATCGGCTGTACACTACTTTTTATGGTGCATTGTGGGATCTTTTGAGTGACTATGTAGTGGATGAAATTTACCGCTGAGAATTTGAACAGCACTACAAAATGGCGTGCACCCTATATAGTGCACTATGTAGGGCATAGGGAGTGATTTCAGACACAGCTACAGACTGTATAACAGATGGACGTAGCTGCCATGACGTCACCCGTTGGTTTCTGCACTGAGAACATGAAGCCAGGGTTTTGCTACTTCCTGGTTGACATCTTGGATTTTTGGAGCCAGTGACGCAAAAATCGTGGGAGGGGGGCGGAGCCATAGGAGCAGCGATTGGTCAGACTGATTGAGAGGCGGGCCCTCTCAGCCCCGCCCACATTTACCGCCTTCTGCTCGCTTCGTCTGTATGGTCGCTGCCGACTGTCAATCAAGCCAGACACGCCCCTTGCCCCGCAAAATGCTGATGATTTCTTAAAAATTCAGTCTTGATTTATTTTCAGATTGGCCACCTGATCTCTGGATTTGACTGAAAGCTAATAAGAACAAAATCCTGAGCTGTAGGAATGCAGTATTGATCTGTGATCACTTCTTTTCCAGTTCCAGTCTATGGGAGCCAGGGCTTTGTGGAGCCAGCAGCTAGTGGACGGAGTGATGCTGTAGGTTTCTGACACTTCCAGGTTGGCTTCATTTTTCAGGGCCGGTTGCTACGTCCATCTTTATACAGTCTATGCTCAGGATGAAGGCAGGTTCACCTGGACAGGTAACCAGTCTATCACAGGGCTACACTTAGAGACAGACAACCAAGCACACTCACATTCACACCTACGGACAATTTACAATCACCAATTAACCTCAGCATGTTTCTGGACTGTGGGAGGAAGCCGGAGAACCCGGAGAGAACCCACACTGCACGGGGAGAACATGGAGACTCCACGCAGGAAGATCCCGGGTGTCCTCACCGGGTGTCCTCACCGGGACGCCAACCAGCGACCTTGTAGCTGTGAGGCCACGGTGCTAACCACAGCGCCACCTGCAGCCCTGTTTGTCTATGTGATGCTACTGAAATACAGCATCTTTCTTATAAAAACTGCTGAGATATTTTGTGTCATCACCGTGTGGGATGTGTAAGTGATCAGCAGCAACGCTGACTGTAGGTGTGTGTGTGCATACAAGGAGGAATTGTTGAGAGCCTTTTGAACTTCTTTGCCAAAGTCAAGTTCACATTTTGTCTCTGTCCAGAGTGAATGAAAAACAACCAGCAGCTCACCTACAACACTACGAAGACATACAGAGAAGTGTGCTGCACCTTTTAGCAATCGTAAGTCATATTTGATGGAGTCTGCAGCAGTGGCGGTTCTAGAGTTAGTGTTCTAGTGTTACTGGGCCAAGCTGGGCCAGAGTCCACCATCACCACAGCAACAGGATATCTGGCAAATTGGTCCTGAACATCCAAGGCCTCAGCCCTGCTGGTCTCTGTACTTAGGACACCAAGAAGAGTGACGGCAATCTGGCACAGTCAATGGAACGGACCAGCTTGGCTGTTCTACATGGCTTTTGTATCTCACTGCTCTGGATTTTTGGATCCAAAATTCTCATAAACTGATGGAGTTCATGTCCCAAATCATCAGTGCTTGCAATGTTCAGGAAAACACAGTGCTGTCCTTAAAAAGGCATGACTCTGGGGGCTGAGAGCCACATTCATTTGGTTGTCATCGTTATTTCATTTATTTATTGATCTGATCAGGCACCGTCCATCTTTACATAGGAAACATCTGGTGGACTGCGTATAGAGTGTATAGCATTAAGCTAATTCTCAGCTCCTGTCCCTGGTTGGGCTTTTCAGTAATAATAGACAAAGGACCAACAACACCAATACAAACAGTACAGATGACATTATAAACTTATAACCCCCCCCTCCCCCCCGAGTTCTGAGGGACTCTAGGCAAAGAGGGACCTGGACCCCCACGAAGCAGTCACATGCACGACTTTAAATCTGGGCTGCAGGTGTCTCCTGTTACCTGTCCAGGTGAACCTGCCTTCACTCTGAGTCAGCTGGGATAGGCTCCGCCCCCCATGACCCTGGTGAGGATGAAGGTGTAGAGATGATGGATGGATGATCAGAAACGCATCCAGGGTGCCGATGATTGTTTCTATGACTCTATAGACACTAAACTGTTCACTCTGTGAGACATCCCATAATACTGACGCTACCAGCTGGCTACAGAGGACATGCTGGAGTCTCGTTGGAAGCAGCTTCTCATCACGTCCTTCGACAGCTGATGTGGATCTTGATAATGTGAGGTGGTGTCAGTCTATGGGGTTCATCATGTGACCTGACGGCCCTCAGAGGACTCTGGGAAATCTGCACCTGCACTGTAAAAAAGCTTCACGTGTTTGTAGCATGATCAAACATGTGATGTGTTTCCCCTTCAAAATAAAAGTTTTGACCATTAAATGTGTTTGTGATTTTTCACTTTATTCACATAAAACTAACGATGCGCTGATGATGTCCTCTCACAGGTCATTTATTACTCATAATTTTCAACAAAAACAGGAAATCAGTCAAATCACTGCTGACTGACAGAATAAAAGCCCTGTGGGCTGACAGGATGTGACATCATAGAATCCCCCTGCGGTACCGCCCCCTCTGACATCATCAGGTCACCTGCGGTACCGCCCCCTCTCCTTGTCCCTCTCTCTCTCTCTGTCTCGGTCCCTCGCTCTCTCTCGCTCTCGGTCGCGGCGAGGTCCGCCTCGCTCTCGTTCACGCTGCCGCTCCCGCTCTCGCCGGCTGCTCACCACTGCCTGCGTCCGCCGCAGGAAGTCGTCCACCCGCATGTCGTAGTCGTGCTGCATGATGGGAAGAACAACAGGCAGTGAGATCACTGATAGATACGTCCGGGTATTGATCGGCAGCTCAGAGTGTGACTGACCGGGCTGGATGTGAAGGCGCGGTGCTGCGGGACGCGCTGTTTGTCTCTGAAGCGAGGGGGCGGAGCCTCGTGTGGTGGCATGGGGGGGTGGTGGTGGTGATGGTACGCCTGGTGAGGGGGGGGCGGGGGGTGGCTGTGGTGGTAGTAGGGGGGGTGGTGGGTCGGTGGCTGCTCCACGCCGGGGTACGCCGCCTGATGACGCACATGACATCATCGTTAGTTCAGTCACCTGATCGATACCTCAGGGATCAATGTGACCTGTTCATGATCAGTCGATTCGCATCATGATCAATACGTCCTGCTTGATGTTGCCAATAGCAACAGAAAGAGGCTCCACCTGGTGGAACAACCCAGCACTGCAGCTGATCCACAGTACGTTTTCATGTCCTTCTGCTCAATCAATTAAGTTGTTAATTCGTTACTACCAGAAATTGATTAGCAGATCATTGATGTATTGGTCACAAAATGCGAAGCAACGCTACAGCTGCAGAGCAGTTCAACTTTGGTGACAGATCGATTGATAAGCATGATCAGTAACATCAGAGTCGTACCAGAGTCTGCCAGGGAGCCGGAGGCCCGACGCTGTGGTGGTAGTCCCTCATGTAGTCATTATAGGACTGAAACATAACGCACAGGTGAGCACAGTGAAGCCAACAGGCACACATGAGACATATGAGGCTAACGTGATACATGCTAATAGCGCTCCCATGGCCATCTGCTTCATGGAGCTAAGCTAACATGCTAACATGACTGGACTCACCCCATTGAGAAAAACATCTCGTCTTACGCTGGAAAATCGTCTGAAACAGAATAAGTTTGTATCAGATTGGGACTTTCACATTAAAAGCTTCTTGTCAAGATTTCCATTTTTCATGATTCTAAAAAAATTCCGTCTGAACTTCAAAAATAAAACATTTTAGCTTTTTAAAAGCAACGTCCTGTCTTGAAGTTGACCAGTTTTCAACATTTTCAAAACCTTCCAAACACAAGCTGCAGGTTTTCAGCCTGCGATGGCTCCGCCTACTTCCAGGTGAGTGATGCAGCATCTCACCTGTCCACTGGCTGGTTCCGAAGGTCCTGAATGAACCCTGCAAATAAAATGAATTGTGGTGTTTAGTAAGTTCCTGTGTGAGCCGAGCCGTGGGTGAAGAGTCCAGTTTAACCTGCGAAACCAGATCACCATGGTAACAACAAATACGAGTGTGTTCATCCTACACTCAGCGTTACCAAGGTGTCAGGTCACCATGGTAACGCCAATATCGTTATCTGTAATTGATATCATTATCTCTTTTTATGAGCTTTTGTCTTTGTTGAGCCAGCGAACACAAACAAAGCCTGGCTTTGCTAAACCTGCTTCATGGTGCAGCTGAACTGATCAGATTCAGGTGTCAGGTGGAGCTTTACAGTGTGACTGAGTGTGAGGCGAGAATGAACCGTCAGCAACAACCTGCTCGCTGGCTGAAGTCAGGCGGACCGTCAGCTCGCGGCCGCTTCCTGCCGTGGATGTCGTACTCTTCAGGTCGACGCCTACGTAAACAAGTGCACAGGTGAGACACACACATGCACACAAATACACTCACACACATTAAGACACACTGAGGTTTAACACAAGCAGGAAGAACCCAGAACTTCACAGGAACGTGTTTACAGGTGTTTACAGGTGTTTACAGGTGTCGTCTAGCATCAGCGTCCGCATGACAGAAACCTCAAAGTCCCAGTAAACTGGTCCCACGCTA